TTATTGCTGACAAAGCGTACGAAATCGTGACTGTAACTGTGGTATATGCCAATTAAAATATTCCTATTATTCGTCCACCGAAGATATTGCGTCTCTTGCAATGACTGTCTGACACGAAATATAACGGAAACATTTCGGTGTTCAATTCCTCTGAAATTCTTATACTGATACTCACAACTTTGTGTCGTAGAAAAAGACTGCTGACAGAAAGCATTCAGAATGAGAAGAAGTAGAAATGGTATCATGATGAGGATCAAATCCTTTTTCGAGAACATTCTAAATGTTCAGTTTGTGAACTAATTTGCGTGCAGAGAGTATGAACTCAGATTTACAGTTGCGCCGACTCACTCCAATCCCGAAAGTTTAGAGCAGAGATACTCGTTATGATAGTATCCAATGTACCAATTTATATTTTGGAAGGGACTTTCAGAGCATGAAGCTGTTTCACCAACCTATTACAAATCGCCCAATCACAGCTTGACAAACCAATTGATCACTTTGATTTTATGGGAATAATTATGTTGAAACATTATCTTTGAGGCGTGAAAAAGCAGTAAACAAACCACTTGAGTGAGTTTTACAATAAAACCCAACGTATTACTTTCTTTGTCTATTGCGTGTATAATTATATAGAATAGCCATGGTTTCAGTTGTAACGCTCTTGAAGAAATCAAGTGTCAGATTTTTTTTTTTTTTTTTTTTTTTTTTTTTAAATCGGCAACTAGGCCAACCAGCCATTCACAGGTGACCAGTTTCCTTTTAATTGTATAAATATCATTGAAAAATCATCTGTTTGAGACGTGAAGACTAACAATCAAACAATTTAACAAGTTTTGAAATGACTCATCGTATCGATTTTTTAAAAGCGCATTGATGTAGAATAAGTTTACTTCCAGTTGCAAAACTGTTTAAGTGTCGGGTTTAGATCTTCCATGGTTATCAGGTCAACAATTTTAATAAAGTTTTGTGCCTTTTCTGTAACTTTGTATCGCGTATTTTCGCTTTACCATACTAGTAATCAATACATTAATTGAGTTCTTGATTTAGTGGATTGAGTCGGCTGACAAGTTTTTTTCTCCCTACGAACTGTGACTTTTTATCCACTGTGACGACTTCGAGAGAGACTACAACTATAATATTTGTATTTTTCTCTAAGTTTCACTTTCCTATAATATCAGCTAAAAAAATCAGAGTTTTAAAATTTTCGGGGGAAAACCGAATTCAGACAAGGATTACCAGTCGAGAACAGAAAAACGAATCGTCTGCTTTCTCTAATAATTTAAGGAAACGTCAAAGCTTCCGCGTTTCGCGCGAGAGGGGTAAACTAAATTCAGACAAGGATTAAGAGTCGAGAACGGTACAACGAATCGCCTTCTTTCCCTAATAATTTAAGAAAATGTCTAAGCTTTCGCGCTTCACGCGGGAGGGGAGAAACTGAATTAAGACAAGGATTAAGAGTCGCGGATGGTACAATGAATCGTCTTCTTTCTATAATAATTCAAGGAAACGTCAAAGCTCCCAGGCTTCGCCCGGGAGGGGGGGGGGGGAAACTTCATTCAGAGAAGGATTAAGAGTCGCGAACGGTACAACGAATCGTCTCCTTTCTTCTCTAACAATTTAATGAAACGTGCTGCATTTAAATATCTATGCTGCTGATTAAGTTGACGAAATCAATCGTATATTATGTCATCGAGGAAAAATGACCATCTATACGCAAATACTATAGATAGTTCATAGAAAAAATGATTTAGCCTACTCCCTACGGCCCCGGGTTTGTAGTAAATTTTGGCGGTAACTAGTTGCTAGTTTTGTCGGTAATCGGTGGCCTCTATACCCCCCCCCCCCCACCCCGCTGAAAAAGGTCTAGTGACGCCCCTGCGTGCAAGCCCTGCGGAACGTTTTCAAAGTGACGTGGGGGGGGGCTAAATTATTTACGATCAGGTAGAGCATAGCGAGTGGACACGTAGATTGGCGTGCAGGGGTCCAAGGGAAAAGCCCCTGCGGGGGTCAAGAAGAGGAGCCCCCCGGAAGCTCAGGGGTTTGAGGCATTAAAATACGGTCAGATGAGCATCCAGGTGGCCGCCCCTGGTGGGGTCCAGGGGGCAGAGCCCCAGGAAGCTCAGGGGTTTAAGGCATTTAATTACGGTCAGATGACCATATTTTGATACCTTATTTGTGACACTTTCTTTCTTTCTTTCTATTTCTCTTCATATAGGCCTACTTTTTCAAAAAGTGGAGCGTCTTGGGGCTCAAGCCCTGTCAGTCAGGTTTACTGGTATCGATTTAGAAATAAACCACGTTTGAATTTTATTGGGAGGGGGCAACTCCCCCCCCCCCCCCCCCATCAGTACACCAGTGCAGTGCGTAAAGGCGTAAACAATATTCATGACAGGATCATTAGCTGAAAACCAAAAAGGGGGAAAAGGAAAGAAGGAATAGTAGGTGTTTGATAAGTTAAATGCAACGTATCAATTAAGTGATAAAACTAGATTGTATAAAGTATAGGCCTATGAATAAAATCTAAAATCTAAATACTTACAAATTAGGAAGATATGGGAGAAAAGAACGTCGACCATGGTCCAAACTTTTGCTCCAGCACCAGTACTCTGCAGTTGTGTGAAGGTCTGAAGATATAAGCAAAAAAAAAAAAAAAATTGTGAGGCGCATTGCGGCAGGTTATCTCTTAAAAACCCAATCATGATGTGTTTAAAGCACAATATCAATGAAGGAACATATAAGTCCTTTAATTAAATCCCCACTGCACTACTTATAGCTACTTGCGCCCTCTATATAGCAAACAATGTCTAATCGGTGACCATATTGTTCCCCCGTGGTCCCCTTTTTCATAGGATAACTGAGAGCTGATTTGATGAGATAACTACCTGCCAGTGACCACGCAGGGAGGTCTAATCCCTCCTGGCAAAACTAGTGCAGAAAGGCTTTGAATATGTTACTTAATGAGATAACCTATAAATGCGAGTGAGCGTAGAGAGCGATTTTTTTTATATATTTTTTTTTTTGGGGGGGGGAGGCGTTTCAAGAAAAAAAACCTGCTCTCAGACGATTTGAATAAGGGGCACATGGAATTAGAGAGGCTTTAAGGCCCCACTGTACTACTTGTAGCTACTTGCTCCCTCTACATAGAAAAAAGTGCCTAAGCGGTGCCCGATGGTCTCCCATGATCCTCTTTTTATTATGTTAATTGAGAGCTGAGTTGGTGAGATAACCACCTGTCAGTGATCACGATGTGTGGTTTAATCACCCCTGGCCAAACTAGTACAGACGGGCTTTAAGAAATCTATTTATCGGGGGAGATGAGGGATGATAAAAAAAATCTTGTCATAGCACGCACGGTCATTATTTCTCTTTTTAACACGAATGACATTTAATAATGCCAATGCAGTTCCCTTGAGTTTGAAGACTCCTTTGTTGTCTAAACCTTTATCATGTATATTCTTGAAAAAAAAGGCAAAAAAAAAGGAAAAATAAATATACAAATTGAATGGGATTTTTGTTTCTTGTGACTACCTGGCCATCATGATGGCTGTTCATTGATACCTTAGTATTCTATGAAGTTCATGCAAAAAGGGGGTAGGATTCAAGCATGGTAGGTTGGAAGATCGATGCCTCGTTTTAGCAGGTTAGTAGAATGAATAGTTTAAAGGGACAAACGTTTTAGTGTAAAAGCCAGTGACACATTACTTAAATCAAAATGACTTATCTGTACAGAGAGCCTGATTGTATTCTAAAAGGGGCACAGTTTGACGTGTGCTCCCTGCCTTCCGTTTCTCTCTCCCTGTCTTCAACCAGCGGGGACTTAATTCATCCGAGCTCCTATGCTGTAAAAGAAATTAATCATGGGTTATAGTTTTATTTCCCTTATTTTTATTTTGTGCGCTTTTCGTGATAGAAACAAAAGAAAAACGTTTAAATAATGTAGGCTGTAGAGTGCTCACTCAACCCATCGACCCTTTCATGTTTAAAGGTAATACAAAGTTTTGGTATGGGGTCATGAATTTGGTTCAAATGAACATATTCGAAGCATATGCGATCCTACAATATGTAGTGATCATTTTCGCGGTTGAAATCGAGTCTAAAGTTATGAAATTGTGAATAATAAAATCTTTATGTTGTATAGCTCCCTCTCAAGGTCAAGATATTAATTAAGCTATAATAAACTAGGCGTTGTGGCGTGCGCCTGTAATCCAGCTAAAAAGTGGAAGTTACAAACTGATTCAGCCGAGGACGCAGGTTCGAAACTGAGTCACGTCTTTCGGATGGTGACGTTTAAAGGTCGGTCCCAGACGTAAATAATCATATCTGATTGATACACGTCTGTAAAAACCCAATACACACACACACACACATATAACTAGGCGTTGTGGCGTGCGCCTGTAATCCAGCTATAAGTAAGTGGAAGTTACAAACTGATTCAGCCGAGGACGCAGGTTCGAAACTGAGTCACGTCTTTCGGATGGTGACGTTTAAAGGTCGGTCCCCAGACGTAAATAATCATATCTGATTGATACACGTCTGTAAAAACCCAATACACACACACACACACACACATATAAAACATTGTTTCTTGACTAAAATCGACCGATAAGCTATTTTCGTTTGGTAGTTATATATCAAAACTACATATTCTGAAGTTTTCAGGGTCGCAACTACTATTGTACGGCCGTATGTGCTAATTGAAATTTATCAAAATTTACCAGGAGCACCGGTAAATTTTTATATTCGATTTTTCTCGAAAGCAGAAGTGTCTATAGACCTTAGGAGCTATTTTTTTTTTAGTACTTATCCACAGGGGCATCCAAACATATAAAAATTGTAAAGAATCACTATTTCCCAAAACTTTGTATTACCTTTAAGGTATGATGGCATGCCGGTATGATACCCCCCCCCCCCCCCTTCCCCCAAAAAAGGAAAAAAAGAAAAGAAATCCGATCGATATCCGGTCGGAGATAATGCGAAACCGAATTACGCGATGGCGCATGCGCAGAGTGCATATTTGCGAAGGTGATGATCAAGTAGTTTACATTCGCAACGAAAATATTACATTTTCCCATCTCAATCTGATCGCAACATACGGGGATATACATTTCACTATTGTATTCCACCTATTTGTATCAAAAGAACAAGTTGTCGGTTGTCTTTTGAATAGTTGGAGATATCACCTAGTTGGTAAATACATGAGATATGTGTGAGTGAGTGTGAGTGAGTCCGGAATGTGTGCAGAGCCAGAGAATAATAACAGTGGCAGTTACTGGGCACGGTACTGGGCAGTGGACTGGCGCTTGTCCGTAGGACAGGTAGTGACGTGATGTGCCGTAGCTAGTGCCCGGCCCTGCCATCGGCCTTATCGGGGCCGGGGCCGGGGCCGGGGCCCTGCATGTCACGCGTCAACAGCCAGTTCTGCAGTGAATTTTGTTCATGTGCACAAACATGGGTCCATGGTCCATTATCCTTTATCATTCAACTTCTCAATGATTTAGCAGTCGCTCGCATTGTCAATGAGGGTTCTGTGAAATAAAATATGCAGACAGGCCAGTCAAGCTCGAGTCAAGCTCAAGTCAAGGCAGCATTGCCATTGCCATTGGCGTTGAGATGTTGATCTTGCAGTGTTGCATGCACTCGATCATGGCATTTTCACGAAGCTAGCCACGGCTACCCCCATGGCATATATGTCTGAAATTAGATCTAATTGAAAACTCATGCAATTGTCAAGAGTGAAAAATTAATAATCCGTTTCTGTTTGTGCAACACTTTAATCTGCGATAATGATTATTGTTGTCAAAAAAAATGTTCAATGTTTTTCATTTATTGGAAGAAACTATATAATTCAGGTAAAAAAATGCAGCATTCCATTGAACCGTGCCATGTCTCATTGAATAGCTCTGTATCTTTCACCTCAAAACACATCTTGTGAGCTTTAAATATTTGTTTATTTTCTCCTGTAATATTTGCTAGCGTCTGAAAGCAAACTTTGTATTTATTTTATCTCTGTGCAGAAGCTCAACTTCATCTACTCTGAAGAATTGTGAAAACAACACATTTTGCTTGGAGTACCCATATGACCTTTGACCTACTCACCTAGATGATGCTGCTGTAAATTGGCGAAAAAGATTGTTTGTTGGATGTGCAATGCTGCTTCAAGATGGGGTCTAAACGAAATGGAAGTACCACAACAGTTGTAGCCTTTGAAGGAGAGTTGAATGGTATCGTTAAAGAAGTGAGTTTAAATTTGGTTCAAGGTACCGTAATACAATTCCATTTTGGTATAATGGGTAGTGAGCCAGAACATTACCTTAAACTATTCAACAAATTTGGGGGAAAATGGGCCAAAGGTTTGTTTTATCAATTATTTTATTTGAAGTTAGTTCCATGTGGTCATGAATATTTCATTTTGAAAAGGGGGCGATGAAACATCATTTGAATTTTGAATCTAATGAATACCAGTACCCTACAGGGCGCGACAAACCCGCTTGCCCGACGTCCCGGGGCAACCAAATTGAGCCGTCGGGCAAGTAAATCAAATTATCACTTGCCCGATTCGGGCAAGTGATACTTTTACAGTAATTTCCTAGTGTCCAAGAACTCTACCATTCACCCATCAACTTCTTACCCGTCGTCAAAATCCAGAAGCAAAAAAGCGATCGTTCCGATTTCGAAAAAACTTCACAGACAGCTAGCCAGCTCAGCTAGCTCAGCGCGCATGCAACAGTGACACTTCAAGCCATGAATGCCGCTCCGCCTCCACGCACGGCCGGCCGTGAGCTAGCTAGAGACAGCTAGCGCGATCGTACCAGCTGCGAGCTTATTCGCGCTCTCTCTCTCTAGCTCTGCAGGCCGCACCGACAGGCCTTTGCTATTCTCTGATTGCCGATTGGTTGAATCACGCCAAATATGACGTCATTATTCTAGGGAAATGAACACGTGCGAATCGGAATGGAATAAACAACAGGGATTTTCTAGTAAGTACAAAAAGTCAAATGTTTGATATTTATTCATAATGACTGTTAATGATTGTGAACATATTATTTAAAACTCGCTGCTCATATAAATCAGATGAATGTTTTTGTCTCGTTTTCAATTTATTACTGCGGTCTCAAGATCCGACCGAGCGAGTCATTTTGATAATAGTATCGAGACCCCCAGAATATAAGCCGTTGTTGTTTTGTTTTCATGGTTTTAGCGACGTTGTTTAGTCTAGTTTTCGCATACTTATCCGAGATTTATCGTAAAATATCTTCAATATTATTATTTAGTAAGAATTTACAAATTTTGGCATGATATTTATTTGACATATTAGGTTATTATTCAGTACAGTTACACTGTACATGTATGTGCATTAATTTGCTATCTAAAACACTAACTTATCATTACGAGATAATAAATGCTTTAACCTCGAGTCCTTTTTCGCTTTAAAGTTTTGGGCAAGTGGAAATATTGTTTGGGCAAGTAAATTGAAAACCCACTTGCCCGACAGGGCAAGTGGTGAAAAAAATTCTTGTAGCACCCTGCCCTATTTTATCTTGTACATCTGTAACAAAAGTTGTTAGCCAGCAAGCCTGTAGATTATGATTTTTATAACTAGGAAGCTCTCTTGGAAAGAGATAAGATTAAATGATAATTTAAGTTGTTTTAAAAGTAAGTCGATCAGTGTTCAAAGGAATAGTGACCATGCAGTTTGGGCATTATTAATACTCTCATGGAAACATTCGACTTATTTAATCGAAGGTGATTTTTCCTTTTTGCAATATGTATGTTCCAGTGCAATTTTGTTTACAGTTTCCAGCACAGGTCTGTATTTTCATAGAGCCAACTACTACCGTATACGTCTTCATCAAATTTTTTATTTTTTAAAAATATACTATTTTTTATATTTTTTGTGTGTGTGTTTCATAAATTATGATACTATTGTTTTATCAATTTTGTTTCTCTCTCTCTCTCTCTTTGATTGTCCCCAGTACCTGGATTTTTGTGGCTTGGAACAATCACAGAAAATCTTTGATGTAGAGACCAAGGCTAAAGGTCGCCCTATAGAACAGCAAATGAGAAAGCCATGGAACAAACGAAAGGCAGATCTTCAGGTATTTTACAGTCCAAATCAGGAATTGGTGTTCAACAAAATAAATGTACTGTATAGTATTAAAGCTATGAAATGAACACAGAGCAAATCTTCAGGGGGGATCCATCTTGGAATTCACCTGCAACTAGTCAATAATTCATTTGTGCCTTAAAGACTATATAATTGCTGGTGTAACATAAATCTTCATGGGCAGTTATTATTAAACAATGTAACAATTCAGTTTTTGATAGCTTTATTTTAACTTGGGCACATTGGCAGAACCAAAAAGTATGGTCGAACTTTCTGTCTGGTTAAAAATACCCAATGTGGGATGTATTAATTATATGTATTGTGTTAAAGAAATTTATAGATGCTTGCTTAGGTAAAAAAAAAAACGATTGAATGATGGGCTTCAGATAAGTGATTCCAGCCAGTCGCTCTGTTATTTCTTTACTATTATATATGGAATATTGTTTTTTCAGTCCAGAGCATTACCATTGCATCATTTTTGATTGCCAGTCAATGATTTGAGTCTGTTCATCAGATATATGTTATAACCATATCATACACGTAGCCACTTATATCGTCATATCTATGTACAGTAGACTATTACTCGTCTTGCCTCTACATGTGTTTTCCAATAAACGCAATCAATTTTGTTGTACATCATGTTTGATCTTTTTTCTCTTTATTATTTCATATATCATTCAGTCGGACCTACTTGCTCTTTTCAAGACTGGAGCCAGATATGAATTCTTCACCATATGGAATGAGAATGTTCCAGAGCCGGTCAGGAGCAATGATGCAGTCTGCAAGAAACTAGAGTTCTACCTTAACATCTACTTCGCAATCTTTCCAATTAAATACCACATGATGACAGGCAAGAAGGTGGGTTTCTCTATTTGTAATACAGTCAAACCTGTCTATAGCGACCGCCTAAGGGAAACGCAAAAAGTGGTCTTTGTAGAAAGGTGGTCTTTATAGACAGGTTCCTTTAGTACATGTTTCAATGAGAAACCATTTTCAAGGGAAACAAAAAATGTGGTCCTTGTAGACAGGTGGTCTTTGTAGACAGGTAGTCACTAAAGCAGGTTTGACTGTATAAACAAATTTAATGCACAAATCTTTGTTAAGTGCCATGTTACAAATTATTTCATGCACCTATTACAAATAATTGTATTTCAATAGTCAGAATGCGAATTGCATACATGTATTGTCCCACCCAACAACACAAGAAATTATGGATAAAATGCAAGGTGATCTTCCTCTGTGAAAGTAATTATGCTGACAAGGGCTCAATGCAAAATTTTCAATGTGCCTTCAGAAAGCAAAAAAATTACGGGCATAGGAAACAGACTTGCAGCTACAAAATTACTTTGTAGCATTATGTTGTTGTTTTTTTATTAAAAAATATCTGTTACTGTATATTTCATGCAATGCACATTCTTCATTAAGTTGTAAGGGTTTAATGTAAATATATTTTGAATAATAATGAAAATAGTAGTAGAAGCAGTAGTAGTAGTACTACTACTATCCCATTGTTAAAGCCTGTCTGCACTACTTGTATCTACTTGTGCCCTCTATACAGCAAACAATGCCTAAGCGATGGCCGTTGGTCCCCCATAATCCCCTTTTTCTTATGTTAAAGGTAATACAAAGTTTCGGAAAATTTTGAAAATTGGCTGGATAGTGATTCTTTACAATTTTGATATATTTAGATGCCCCTGTGGATGTATTATAAGCACTAGAAAATTTAGCCCCTAGCAGAATTCCGCTTTCGAGAAAAATTGATTATATAAATTTACCGGTGCTCCCGGTAAATTTTGATAAATTTAAAATAGTGCCTACGGCCATACAATGGTAGCTGTGACTGTGAAAATCTCAGAATATGTAGTTGTGAAATATAATTTCCAGATGGGAATAGCTAATCGGTTGATTTTAGTCAAGAAATATTGTTTTATAGCTTAATCAATATATTGACCTTGAGAGGGAGCTATACAACTTAAAGAGTTTATTATTTACAATTTCATAACTTTAGACTCGATTTCCACCGTGACGATGATTACTGAAGATTGTAGGATCGCATTTGCTTCCAATATGTTCATTTGAACCAAATTCATGACCCCATACCAAAACTTTGTATTACCTTTAATTGAGAGCTGATTTGATGAGATAGCCACCTGTCAGTGACCACGTATCCGCTGAAACATATCTCCTATGTCCTTAGGCTAAGGATAATGATTTATTTAGCATGTAACATACACATCGTTTCTACAGTGTATTAAGCACTTAACATATTGTGAAAGAAACCAACTTATTAAGAAAAACTTGATCAGTAAACATGATTTTGATCTCTTGAGAATATATGATGAAATACAGTGTTTTATCTAATGCGTATGTTTACTCTTTGTTGAATAGGGACGGACCAAACTAGAAGAAGCAATGGAAGAATTCAAGAAGTATTTAGAGACCGGAGGAGCATCTTTGAGTCAGACGACAGAGTTCCTTCCATTCTATGCTCTCCCATTCGTCCCTGATCCTACCAAGCATCCTTCATATAAAGAGCTCTTTCAGGACAGCTGGGTGCCTGATCTGCAGGTAGGAAAATCCTGTTGGTTACTACCAGGGGCGTACGCAGGGGGGGGGGGGGGGTTTTGGGGGTTCAAACCCCCCCCCCCTTTGGTATTTTTATGTATGTAAACCCCCCCCCCTTTGGGGCTAACCTATATAAGGTGACCTTACCCCCCCCCCCAACGACAAAAAATGTCAAATTATGAAATTTCGAGACCAAAAAAAAAAAAAAAATGTGTCCGCTTACCACCCCCCCCCCCCCCCCCCCCCCCACTGAGCGACTTTTCGGCCGGCGCGATTTTCAAATTTTCGGGAGCAAAATATTTTAAAACCCCCCCCTTGAAAAAATCCTGCGTACGCCCCTGGTTACTACAGTACACAGATGCCAACCAGTACGATTTTATTGTATTTCGTACAATTTTTAGAAGTAAATACGAGAGTACGATTTAAAAAAAAAATAATTGTGCTTGTATATGTGTGTGCAATTTTCAATGGCAAATTCCCCACTCTCTCCTGTAAAGTATCCTACAAGCATCTCACATCAGCAATTTGGGGATGTTTATTGGTTCATCGAACACACTAGTCATGACGAAATCATGCATATTCAACCAAAGGTCCATAAAAATACATTTACATGTTCATTGAACAGAACAGATTTCCCCCTCATGAGAACTAGTCGATAGTCGATATCCTTCATAGATCCTAACCGTCTCCATAAACGCTTTGCAGGTACGGCTGGAGAAGTTCATGGCTATCACCCTTCCAGCTCACCCTCAACCCAGGTTATTTGAGCTGTACCAGGATATGAACAGCAAGAACTCAGAACAGCTCCAGAAGTTACAGAGTGCTATTGTCGATGGAGAGAAACGCAATATGACCTACGTCAAGAGATACAACAAAATTCAGGTGTGCAATTTTTAAATTTGTATTCATACTCCAAAAATGATAGTAATATTACATTAGGATGTATATAGGGCTTAATACGAAAGACCGTCTCTAAGCACTTTACAGGTGTTACATTATTATTACCCTGGTCATCAGATTTTTACACGCACACAGTGTGCACAATTTCCACTCCCTAGTTTTAGGTAATTCATAAAAGTTAGGGGAATTTGGTTTTCAAATGCTTCATAGACAGTAGGCCATTTTTGTATTGTAACAAAATTTATGTATATGCCTTTGTGAAGTACCTCAATACGTATTATTTCATTCCTCTGTTAAAAATAAGTGTATCTTAATTATCAGAATTAAAACTGCATACGTTAGTTGTTGCTAGGTAGGGCAAACATTATGGCTAGCCCTACCTGACAAAACATATATATGCAATTTGCATTCTGACTATTGAAATACAATTATTTGTAACAGGTGAATGAAATATTTTGTATCGATACACTTAAGTATAAATTTAGTTATATTACGAAAATGGCCTATAAACCACCTGATGTTGGATTCATATTCCCACATAGTTTTCCAGTACCTTTCAACATTATGTCAAATATATTATAAGTACTACCTGGTACATTACCAATGTTGCATGTTCATCACTCGAATGAGAACTTTAGTTTTAGTCCACTCTATTGTACTTCAAATAGTATTAAAATGTCTAGATGAAGTTCATTTTGTGAGTTCGAATTTGATTTTTAATGATCTTTTATTATGATATTCTATTTCATTTTACAGGCGGATTACCACAATCTGATTGGTATTACAGCAGAATTAGTAGACACCCTGGAAAGCTGTATCAAAGGAAAAACGGTAATTAATTATATTAGAAACTCTTATATTTCTTTACTTTATTTCATACACAATTCAGACACAAAAATACTTATTTTTTGTTCAATTATCTTGTTGAAAAGGTATTATATTCTGTGTGTGATGATATTTGTGAGAAAAATATGATATAAATCTTATTTGCAGTAGATAACTTTATTAGAACCATGTGATTCACGTTCCAGGGACGTATCCACTGCATCATGTCATCTCTACAAACAAGACCAATTATCAAGTCAAATGGCACCTCTGATGTCAATTTGCATGTTCATCTATGTGCAGAATAAACAATACATGGTGACATATGGGACATTATACAGTGAAACCTGTCTATAAAGACCAGCCAAGGGAGACAAAAAAGTGGTCTTTGTAGGTGGGTAGTCTTTATGTATAGTTTCCTTTAGTACATGTTTCAATGAGAAACTATTTTCAAGGGAAATAAAAAAATGTTGTTTTTGTAGACAGGTGGTCTTTTTATACAGATGGTCACTAAAGCAGGTTTGACTGTACTTGATTTCCCTATCTACCTTTACTTGATAGATGTTACAGAGAGGTTTTGTGAATTGATATATGCTTTGTTAAGTGCCAAACATTTATCTGCATGTAGTCCAAGGTATGTTTGATCCTTCTTTATTTGGTATGTGCTGTACAGGTTACACCCGAATATGTTCAGAGGGTATGCCAGAGACTCTTCTCAAACCAGTTGAGTGAATCAGTGGATGTCACAAGACCTCCAACGGTAAGCTTTCTTTTTTTTGCTCACTTAACCCATCCATCGCTTACGAAACTGGGTATTTTCCGTACTAAGCTTTTGGGAAAGAAAGGAAAGTAAAGTAACTCACTGTCAACAGTTTAAAGGGATTGGGTAACTTTGTCTCAGATTCTGAAACAAAATCCTGGATTTAGCTCATGCTTCAATGATTATTATAGACCTTTAGGTCATTCAGGAGCCCCATGACTTTTACAAGCCGATCACCTGTCTGATTATCAAGATATTTATGATCGTAAATCGAAACCAAATTTTGCGTTTTGCTAACTGTTTTCATAACACTACAGTCTATTGGGGAAAACAAGTATGGTAAAACTGGTAACTCAAAGATTTTTTCTTTTTTGAGGCACTTTTTGATCATTTTGAAGTGCAATTTTGTTAAGGCTTCAATATTACACCATATCACAGACACTGATAACACATAGGGCCGTGCATCTCAGATTTAACATTGTTAAACAATATCTTTAAAAGATCTTTACAGACATTGTTACTTCATGCGCGTTTGTTTTCTGTGAAGAATGATAAGGAATCTGTTTGCACTGTGGTGGAAAACAGCTCTAAAATCATAGATTTCATAGTTCCAATATTGTCACCACCCATATTATGTTGCCTCCTTTAAAATTTTGGCCACCGATTTCAACATCATTTCAAAAGTTACGGTAAAAGGAAAATTTGAGGAAAATTTAACATTGATAAGTTGCTGAGTGAATGCAGATTAATGATAAGTGTGAGTCATAAAGGAACATGTAAGATAGTAAGTTATACAAAATATACATGTATATATATATATATATATATATTTGAGATTCTTTCACATTGCAGTTACCAGTACTTTTTCGTAGAAGCAGTTGCATTTTTTTAGAAGTAGTGATGATTTGTATTGTTATTTCATTTCTGCAGGCTGCTTCAGTATTGAAAGTTTCGATGCAACCACAACACAGGTAAGATGATACAAAAATCTTGCGTTAAATGATTTTGTTTTCTTTTTTCAGGTGGAGCTTGTAAAATGTATCTTCACTCATTGTATTCAGTGAGGACTAAATACAACGTAGTCCAAATGTTGTTTGAAAATACAGGTTTGCATGGTGCGAAGATAACTTAGAGGTTAAGTTTGAGGTACAACCATTTGGACAGTTGTACCACCAAAAAGAAATGTAATCCGCTTAAGGTTTGATTAAAGTAACTGTTATGCAGGAAGGAAAGGATCTCAACTGGAAATAGGACTAGAAAGAGTCAAATTGATCTCTATAATTATCTTCAACCTTTTGTTGCTGATTGTGGGTTGTTACCTTTAGATTTGTTTTCTTGTATTTCTTTTGCTTATAAATTCATCTATTGCACAGATTCTTCCATATCGTTGGGCAGATACACAAACCAAATATCTTAAGCTTCTTTACACTGATCCATTTTATGTAATTATATGAGAATGTTTATTCTGCCATTTCCAGATATCAAAATCACTTTTAAACTTGTTCTTGATGGATATGTTGGGTGTGATAGTAAAAGTTAGATTAATAATTATTGTCCTTTCAGTTACCAAATGATAATCATTGATTTAGTAATAATTTAATCTTACACTTTGTATGTGCAGGTAGATTTAGTTCTCTGTTTCTTAAAAATGTCTGCAAAAGAAATTTCCTTGTAGCAGGAGAAAAAGTAGATGTACATGTACATACATTTATAATACAGGGTTAGTGATAATCTCTCGGTCTTAATCAGTAATAAGAATTTCAGAAGAATACTGCATCTCGGTGGGTTTTGGTTCCCTGATGTGTATTATTTCTTATAATGCAATTTTTAATTTACTGTAACTAAATGCTTGGTTGGTTCTTGTCTACGAGTTATGGTGATTGGATGGTTAACATGCATTTAGTCTGCCGTGTACACGGTGTATGTTTGATTATTTTTGTTGTTTTACTTGTTGATCCCTGTAGTACCATCCCCGAAGAAATAAGGTGAGAGAATTAGGACTGACTACTTCATCTAACCATTTTTCTTTCTTACTTTTCTCCTCTTTTAACAGCTAAAAATAACAAATTTCTAAACTAAAGAAGAAACATTTGAGTTACATGAGCCATATGAATTAAAATGACTCTTTCTATCTCATCATCCTTTATGTCGCCCATTGTGTGAAACCCTTGTTTGTTGACATCTGTTCATCTTGCGTAGTGTTGTCACTGTTTGATCTTTTAACATTTCCTATTGTAATATCATTCCAGTTGTCTCAGTTTCTTTAACTTTTGCACAACATTTGAAATCGGCTCACATGTAATATACCATTGATATGTTTACTACCTGATATACACATATTACAAGGGATTATTAAAGGTTGCAGAGTAAAAAGTGGTGTTTTTAGTCACAATGGAATGCAACTGCCTAAAATTAATATCCCCCTTGGAGGATCTTTCTAACTGGGGCAGTGTATGCATCAGAGTCTGAATGATGATAACTGGGCCCTGTTTCATAAAACTTGGTATCAATAACAAATGTTAAATTTCTATGACAACTTTGCTCTCAGCCAATCAGATTCTATTCCTTAAAGTCAGCCCACCATTTAAGATTCTGCTGTAATCATGTCTAATTTTAATCCCTTTTAATTACCATGTTCCATCTAGTTTAGCTTCAATCTTTCTTTGTACGTGTACTCTATCCAATATTTCTTGCAGGATGCTGCTGCAATTCCTGTCTGTTTTCATTTGTAGTTCTTTATCATTCTCTTTTCATCCTAATGCAATCAGGTGTAATGAGTTGTACAATACTTAGATAGTTTGAATAACAAGATTTCTTATCCTGTGCAAAAGCTCATCGTAAATCAAACTACATATTGTTTGCTGAGAAACTAAATGAGCTTCACTTTTTTTGGTGATGGATGTAAAAAAAAAGAAAAAAAAAATCATGTAGAGCAAGAAGAGAACTTTTCTTAGTCTACTCCCCATTCTCCTTTCAAGAAATAAATGACTTCTTAATTTCTGGTTGAAGAATAAAATGTAAACAAATCTTCTTTGTTGTTCACTTCAGATAGAAAGGATTTTAATAATATGTACCGGTATTACCAATTCATAGAACAAGACAAGATGCATGAGATCTTGTAGAATTATCTATACCTACAAAGTGAATGATATGGTTCAGCAGACGATATGTGATGTATGCATCATCAATCATCGACATGTACATAAAAGGTTGAAGTCATCTTTTTTTTAACATACTGATTTTCTCAATATTTACTACAAGAACATGATTTACATGTCATAATAGATTCTACCACTTTCAGTTGTTAGTGTTTTCTAACTTAATTTTCATTCATCTGCAGATTCTAGCTTCAATTCTGAATATTTTTTTTTCTTTTCTTCAAATGCAATTTCAGTGCAAGTCTTTAATGTGACATTTTCTGCTTGTTCTCTTTCTTTCTTTGTTACAAAATGTTGTCACATTGTTCATTGCAAATGATATAAAAGAAAGAGAGAAAGAAAGAGAGAGACAGAGAGAGAGAGAGAGAGAGAGAGAGAGAGAGAGAGAGAGAGCAAAATCCTCAATATACATGTTATATGTACACTATGTATAATTTTACAAATCATGTCTAGAACACAGTATTTTGATTACGGCATTCATATTATATCTAGACTCATTCGTCACATTTTGCTATTTCTTTGCTCAAGAAGAATAAAAGTTTGGAATTGGCCATGTACAGTACACGGAGACCAGGAAAATACAAATGAAATGTAACTTTGAAACAATACACATTTTCAGACTACATCTCCATACCAACCAAACTATTGTTTAACTTAGACTGAACTCAGACTCTGGTCGAACTAAACTGGACTTCAAGAAACAGAAATGGAGTTAAACCCAACTTGGACTAGACTTATGATCGAGTTCATGTTTATTTAAACTCTTATTTAACTTAGACTGGAGTTTAAAGCCACACTGTCCTTCTTGTAGCTACTTGCTCCCTTTATATAGAAAACAATGCCTAATCAGTGACCATTGGTCCCCCATGATCCTCTTTTTCTTATGTTAATTAAGAGGTGAGTTGATGAGATAACCATCTGTCCAGTGACCTTGTAGGATGGTCTAATCCCTCCTATAAACTAGTACAGATAAGCTTTAAGTGAAACCCCACTTCAGAATATTTGCCAATGAGGCGATACACCTCCGGGTTGCGGCTGATGATTTGTACTAATGTATAGATGTATTTACTCTTGCAGGGATGCGTTGCCTATACTGCCCTCGCTTGACTACAAGGTGGTGAAGAAAGACATGGTATCAGCAGATGACAGAAGAGTGGCTTTACTACTCCAATCCCTCAGATGGGTGAGATTTGTTCCGAAATATAAAGTCTAACGAGGGAGTGTTTCACAAAGACAAAGATCAACTTTAAGTTGGACTTAACTATGGCAGGCCATTCATGCCACTGGTTGCTCTCACCATTATGATCTAAAGATAATGTTTTTTTCTTCAATAATTAAATATCAAAAAATGTCAATTCTGTAGATTTGTAAGTCCCTTGAGAGACTGATGCCAGTAAATGGTGAGAGAAAACAGATCTTAGACTTTGTGAAGCACTCCTCTGATAAGTGAACCCCTCTCTATGATGGTCACCTCTCTACAATGGTCCCTTATATAGTCTCTCTCTGACTTGGAATACATATTATAGACCCTGTCTAAGACACACAGCAGGTTTTCTGTTTTCCCATGGGTGCCTTGAGAGACAGGTCACACTGAATTAATTTGTAAAAAGTGTTTTGGTACAGACTGTTTATTGATCTACTTGTACTATCATCTTCACATACAAACTCAGGAATCTGTCGGTTGATCTATAGAACATTACCTCATATATACACATGTAGTGAAAATGGGGACCATAATAGTGTCACGACCGTATGTTTTTGCAATAAATGTTTGACGACATATATATATTAAAAGTTAAATAATAATATCTATTTCTTTAGTTTTCTGTACTATTTTGCAATGTTTGGTGAAACATATGATGCCCACATGTGTTGTTCATGCTACAGTCTATCGTTAGTAATTTCTGTGTGACAGTTTTTCCTGTACTTGACTATGTACATTCCCGTTATGCTAAATTTTGTTGTTTGTTTTTACCATGACATCACATATAGCGTTTGACTCGCAGTGAGCCTGGTGAGCAGAGGGGTGAAGTGATCTCAGCGTTCATCAAGAATGATATCTTAGGCTGTGCACATCGGAGCTCCCACAGGGTAAGAACACAGTATGTTATAACATGTTATAAAATGTAGCCAATGAGAAGCGTCGATATGGATCATGTGACCGTGCATTAGTTTTTACTATATGCACGGTACCATCTGCATGGAGTGCATTTTGGTGATAACAACTGTGGATGAAGGTTGCAGGGAGACATCCTATGGCCTTGCTAAGTAAGATTGTCGACCCATTTTATAGAACATATAATACACAGGTTTTCATTCCTGACGTTATGTCGATGCAGCGCTATTCGGGTATTCACGATGGCACAAAATACACTTGGCTACACCTCGTTAATTTCATCGCATCATATTGAATACCTTCATGCACTGCATTGACCATAACGCACTCACACCTGTGTATTATTTGGTATACCAGTAGATTAATATCACAATCTTCATCTAACTGCTTTGTCAGATACAAGATACAATGCGAGGTAGAGGTGTCGTAGTTGAGTGGTTTCAGTACTTGACTTGAAATGCAAAGGTCCTGGGTTCAATCCCGACACGGCAATAATGTCCTTTGGCAAAGCATTGATCAATATTTGCCACTTCATACCCAGGAGAGAAATGGGGACCTGGTAGGGTAATGACAGCCCTTGTGTTAGTAATTGGCTTATGCCCTCAGGGTGACCATATGGTAGTAATAATCCCCAGGGAGCGGATATGGTGCATATTGCGAATGAATCTGATGAATGGGATAATAATATCTGTAAAGTGCTTCGAGACGGTGTTTCGTATTAAGCACTATATAAATCCAGATTATTATTATAACAAACTACAAACATTACACAAATCTATTTCCGCCCCCTGCCCCCTCCTTTGTTTATTGTTGGGAGGGGGGATGCTTGACATTGCTGGTATGACTGATATTGAATGCTGTTTTCTTATTTGTATCTTTACCAGGAGAAAGTTATAGAGATTCTTACTGCTGCTTCTGATGAGGTAGTACAGCAATACATGGCAAGGCTCTTCAATGCTTTTGCTTCACTCTCAGTCGGTAAGTGGGCTTAAATGTGATATGGTTACATTTTCATATAATTGGGCATTGTGTGTCCCATATGTTATCAAGTATCATGGAGGTGATTATAATTATAGTAACATTTCTTATGTGCTCATATCCTTCCAAAGGAAAATTCTCAAGGCACTTAACAAAATATGAATGTAATAACAAACAGTTTTAAAGGAAGTCACATACAAATATGAAAATGCAGATGACAATAGATAGCAATAAGTAAAGTAATCATGGAAGTTAAGTGAAAGAGTCACTTACTTGTGTGCTATTAGATACAAAAAATATGAAGCGCAATATTCTTAAAGATAAAGTTGAGTTCTGGTCATGTGATTGCATTGTGAAAGAAACGTGGAATCGATCAGAAAAGGTTGATCATCTAGCATATAAGTATTGGTGTGTTCTGCAAGGTTCGAGAATCATTCAAATGATAAGAAATTTGGCCCAGTCTTGGTAAACAAGCGCTGTACACAGAAAAATGTATATGGGACTACACAAACATGTGACATAAAAATCTGTCCCTATTTGTGTGATGTTACATGCCATATTTAGCATACTAGGGCTTTTGAAGAGCCATACTTT